GGTGCCTGAGAGGAGACGCTGAGGGCGCGCGGAGGGAGCCTCAGTCCTCGATCCCTCTTCTCAGCGCAGGCTAGAACCTAGATAAGAACGCTTCCGGCCATAAATATTGATCACTACCGTAAATATTGACCACTACGGGGAGCGAAACAGACCAGGTGCCCACATTCCTTAGATGGGCACGACTTGAGTTGGACATGGCCCAGGCGCCCACTGTGGCCGAGAAGCTGCCCCGCGGGGCCCAAGCTCTGGTACCTGCTGCTGCTACTGTGTCGGGAATCAGATGCTGCCTGTGAAGTGCAGGGTGGGACTAAGGGAAGCCCCATCTGTAACAGGGAACCCACACATAGGACCTAGCAATACAAGGTCACGAAGTTACTGGGCCCCACCCCCACTGTAACAGGGGGGTCCCTAGGAAAAGGGGGAGTTCCAGGTTCCCTGCCCCACCCAGAAGGAGGGTGGAGCTGAGCAGAGAAAAAGAAGAGAAGAGAGAAGAGGAGAATGAAGTAGGATGGAGGAGGAGACCTGAGGAAAACACACGGAGCACCGAGCATGTGACGAAGAAGCCAGGCTTGTTTCCTGACCCTGGACTGGTTAAGGCAGACGTGGGTGAGAGACCTGTAGGGAGGTGACCATGGCAGTGTTTATTTGTGATTTTGATGTTGCTCTTCTGCTCCCAGATTTGTCTGGCCATGTCTGACCCTTTTCCATGGGTCCGGGCCAGAAGGTGCTTTAGTCTTGTGGCGGCTTTCAGGCCTTGCTTTGGGCCAATCCCTTTTGGGTTGACTTTTGCCCACGAGGAGATGGGTAACTTCAGGTGTGTGATTTAGAAGTGCTATTCTTTGTGTTCCGTATTGTATATTTACTGTATTAAAGCCCCTTTTCATTAAAGTTTTATATGTTTTGTCTTGTTGCGGCGGATGGCAGAACCCACTTAAAGCAGGCAGGTTTTGGGGCTTCAGGGGTGTCCCCCTCCTCCTGTCCTCTAACAGACTTGCTGTCCTATAACACCACCACAAGCTAAGGACTGTTACTGTATTTTCTACTGTTTGCCCCCCTAAGGTCGTTCAGTGTTTCTATGTATGTATCGCTTAATACTGTTTCAATGATATATTCTAATTCAACACTGGAGCAGGTTTTCTGGGCTGGCATAGGAGTCAGGTTAAGTTCAATGATGTTTTGATTTCATACACTTTCAGAAAACGCTCTTACAATTTGGCTTCAAATTTTCAAATACCTAGGGCGAAGCTACGAGTTTTCCCAGAAGACATCACATGCAGGTGGCTCCATATTTATTAGAAGTTGCAGCAACTGTGTTTTGCTAGTTATTTAAACTAAATAAAAAACCTCTTCCAAATTGGAAGAGGTTTGATTATCTTTTATTACAGTGTGCTTTTTATAAGAGCTCTTCGTGGAAATATTTATTGAGGAGTTGGAAATTTGGCCCAGATACAGGGCCTATAATAGACTTTGAATTAACAAAGATTCTAACAAATTAGAAGTGTGTGTACTTAGAGCCTTTTAATTTATCCCTTCTAAGAACAGTGTGCTGATCAGAAAGCTTGTCTTAGAAAGTCAATGGCATGGAGGTAAAAGTCTTTCAAATATTTCTTAGTAAAGAAAGTGGAAATTCTCAAAATTCTCAAAAAGGAATCCCCTTCTATCCTCCCAATCCTTGGGCATATGCATCATTTCAATTAATAATTATCCTATCCTCATTCTCTAGCCATCCTTACACCTTCCCATTATTACATCATTTTTCTTGTCCTTAGCTTACTCCATCAAATACAGAGGTGATTTTAAGGAGCCACTAATATAGAAATCTCAACACAATAATCTCATAAAGTTGTCATTACATAATTATATTCAATTACATATTTATATTCAGTTTGAAATGTTATCAGTGAAAAAATTCATAGAATTTAAAAGAACAGGAAAAGTTTACCCTTTTAAAAATAATCTTTTGTCCTGTAGGATTCATTAAGCAGACTGAAAAATTTTAAAGTTCTTATTGAAGTCAGCATATATATCATATCAAGTTCCATTTAAACTGACAAATAATGTGGATAACTACATACCTTAAGCGTTAACATATAAGGAAGTCAGCATCCTTTCACTGCAGCAGGTTTTTAAAATATTAAACACTCAAACCAGAAGAAGTCATTTAGCATGAAGATGATGCAGTTATTACATAATCTTGAAAAATATCCATATATCTTAGTCAAAATTTTATATAATAGTAAAGATTCAGTCAATGTCTAAATGGTTTTTTAATTTATTAAAGGCAGCAATAATACCTAGGAGTAAGCCATCTCACTTAGATAGGTGTTCCTAAATTATGTTTCCTTTGTAGAAACAAAGGAGCTGTATAACACCTTTGTAAGCAATTCCTAGGTGCCACAATCTGGCAGGAAGGCAGGCAACTATCATTCTTAGCTTTCAAAACCTGAAAGGTGAGGACATCAGGCAACTATATCATGAGCAAATAACAGAACTGGAC